TCAACCAGCTGCACCAGTCTACCCACTTAGGTTACACCAAGCTTACTGAACTCCTGGAGGCAGGTATTATCTGATAAAGTCACAGGGAAAGGGAGAAAGCAGAGAGAAGCAGAAATATGTGGGTCTGATTAGGGAGGAAGAAAAGGAAAACTGGGCAATGTGCAGACAGATGACAGATTGAGCAAGCTCTCGGGTTTATGTCAGGGAAAGCACTAGGTAAGTCACAGAGGGTCTATGCAAGATAAAGAAAGATTAAGGCAGGAAGACAGGGCCTTAAAGGAAACCTTAACCAAATGTACTTTGAAAACCGGTGAAAACTGGACCACTCTGTTCCCCTTGCCCTCTTACAGTCCTTGCAGGCCCTGCAGTCCGCCCTGAAAGCTGTCCACAAACTCACGTGCGACACCCTGCCTGTGCCCACCTCAGGCTCTATGCACCTATTTTAACCCGGGGACTCCATATGGTTCTCTGAGGACTCTAGCGAAGGGTATCCTCTATGCAGAAGACTGAAAAATGAGTGATGACGCTCCTGTCCACAGCAGCCAAGGCGATCCCACAATTTCAAGAAAACAAAAAGGGGGGAGATGGGGGTGGGGGGTTGGAAGATTGATGTTTTGTAACCTTGTGTTAAGCACTCTCAACCTTGTGTTAACATATTCTCTGAATCCTAGACTGGGGGGAAACCTGGCCTGACCAAGTGGGTTGGGCACTTCATTTGTATGTGAATAAGGGTTTGTTATCTTTTGGCTTCAAGGTCTCTTGAAGCTACGGTGTATGCAGTAATGCCATCTCAAGGAAATAATTTACTTAAATCCACTTGTAACCGGGGGTACAAGCCTACAAATAAATGGGACTGAGTCCAGAGATCTGGAGCATTTGCTACCTTGCAAATCTCCCCCTCACTCCAAGCAGCGTGTGCTTGTAGTTTCATTGTGTTGCACTGATCCAGGCAGGCCAAGAGATGGCACTGCAGGAAAAGTGACTAGATTTATACCATTTGACCTTCAGAAGATAAAATCAGGCTTATCAAAAAAAAAAAAATACACTAGTGATCTAAAGCAAATGTAGGGCTTGAAATCCAAAGAGCATCCTGGGGCCTGACTATAAACCTGCCTGTCTCCCTATCCAGGAGGAACGGGGTGCAGTGGAAAAGAGGGATCTCCATCTAGCCATCAAACAACTCAGAATCTTCTGCTCATCCTAGACCCTCCTCAACATCTCCTTGCCCTTATCCCTCTCCACTGTCAATTTGACCTCTCTGTGGGTCTCTGCTCAGCCCCCTCTGTGTGATGCACTGAGACCTTCTTTGTCTCCTGCCACCTCCTTTTTTTTTGTTCTTTCTCCATTCAGCACCCCACCCACTCTCCTTCCAGCTCTGCTTCTAGGTGATCCTAGAAAGACAGAAATCTCATCACATTGCCTTGCATAAATACCTTCAATGAACAATAATGGAAAAATATGTATCATTGTTAAGCTTGGGTGAAGAGAACATGGGAGTTTATTTTATTATTATCATCACATTTGTGTATGTTTTAAATTGTTTAAAATAAAACAAATCCTCAGTGGCTTTCCAGGGATTTCAGGATAAAGTTCAAAGTCCCCAGACTGGCATTCAAGGCCAGTCAGGATCTGTGCCTACCCCGTTTTTCCAGCTCACTTCCTGTTATTTGCCCTGTTGCAACCTCTCTTGGCACCCAGCTCTCTCCTGCAGCCCTGTTTGCTAATGCATCTCCTTATTGCAGAACATACTTTCTCTTCTGTCCTGCCTAGAAAATATATACTTATTTTTTGGAAACCAGACATGAATGACCCCTGGTCTGAGACACCTTCCTAAACCTGACCTTCACTTCAGAGTGGGGATAGGATGACTTATGCCTGATATCTGCCCAGATGTTATATAGAGCAAACACCTGAAATGTATTTGGGAGAGACAATGAAGTCTTGATTAGTAGAGCAGGTAGGTGCAACATTTACCTAACTTGGGCAAGCACAGTAATCTCTCTTGGTTTGTGCTTCTGTGACTACAAAATGAAGAAAATAGCAGTACTTATCTCACAATACTGGGGTAAACATTTGGTAGTATTTTCAGTATAAACAGCTTAACACAATACTTGGCAGAGAGAGAGAGAGAGAGAGAGAGAGAGAGAGAGAGAGAGAGTTACAGAAATATTTCAATCAAATAATACAGTGGATAATTAAGTGGTTTGGCTTAGATTAAATACTCAAAAAAACACAAAAGGAGAAACATCTGCAACAAAAATAAAATAAAAAAAATACTCGAAAAACCTACACGAAAGGAATTGTTTAGCTCTTGCTGGGAGCTAAAGAAAATCGGTGATATCAAAGTCAGTTTTCCTCTCTCAGGCTCACAAGCAATTCATACTTTGGGGGAGGGAGGAGAGGAGAGGGTCCTCAAAGATCCAGGCCCGAGTCCCTGGCCTCGGTTTCTGCTTCTCTTTGGAAGAACTGTGTAAATCTATGGCCGGACCAGCCTGAAATTAGGGGACTAGGAAAGCACTGGGATTGCACGAATATCAGCCCGGGAGACAACCCCCAGTCAGTGAGGTCACAGTGAGATCGGATCTCCTGGGGTGGGGATACCTGGCGAGAAAATTAGTGGGGTCTGCTGCAGTGTTCCCCAGATCCCAGCCCCCGCTCCTCCTGGCTCCCTGGGACTCCTGCGTCACCCGTGTGGGCTGGGGGCGAGAGGAGGGTGGTGCCGTAAGGTGAGGGCTCGGCGCTGCCTTAAAACGCAATGCATCCCCTTGGCCTCTTAGCTTGCAGCGCAGAGCGCAGGCTGGACCTGCGGGCACAGGCTCCTGACTTCCACCACCCCTGCCGCCCTGTGCCTGGTACCCGCTGCTAGGTGCAAGCCTGCAGCCACTGGAGCCTCAGGACCCAGTCCGGAAGAGTGCAGTTAGTTCCAAGGGACCCGGACGCTGCTCCGGTGGTGCGACACCTCCAGCAGCAACAGGTAAGCAGCTGGCTCTGCTCCTAACGCAGCTGCCCCAACGCCGGATTGGACCCCGCGCTCCGGAGGCCTGAACACCCCGTCTGCCACAACCCAACAGCAGTGGTGTGGCCGCTTTTCTCAGTCCCTTGGCCGTCCTCTTGCCGTCCTGTTTCCCTTCGCAGTTTTTCTCATGAGTTCTCCCCACCACCACCACCACCAATTCTCTTGTTGGTTCCTCATCCTTTCTCTTATTCCCTGCTTCTCATCCTTTCGTTTCTTACTCTTTTTCAATTTCGATTTCACTGTTCCATCTCTCCCTGTCTCTCAATCTCTCTCCTAGGGTCTCATTCTCATTTCTTTTCTTCAATTTCTCTCACTCTCTCTCAGGCTCTCCCCACCAATCAGGCACCCATACCTCCTCTCCTGCTCTCCCCAGATCACTCATCCTGACACCCACCGCTGCCTATACCAGGTGGGCTGGAGAATGCAGAGAGGATGCCGAATGCGAATGCGGTGTGTGTGTGGGGAGGGGGGGAGTGCAATAGGCATCCTGCCGGCATTCAGCCGGTGGCTGTAGTGCTGAAAAACTAGATTTATCCGCCAAAGCCTGCTGTAGCCCAGGTGCTGGCTGGTTTCCATGGCAAAATAAAGTCGACAGAGTGATAGAGATCACAGCCAGAAATCCAGCAAGAGAAAAACCGAGGAGAGGGATCATCGGAGAAAAATGGAGACAGAGATGCACCCACACTGAAACACACACAGAAAGTGTTTAGCAAGTCTCAAGGAGAGAGTGAAAAACATAGAAACCAATTCCAGGTGCACATGCTAGAGAAAGAGCCTAAGCAACAGATAATCAAGAGGGACAAGCAGTCGATCATCAGAGAGCAACAGAAAGAGACAGGCAGATAGTGATAAAGAGATAACTTAATGCATGAAGAGGTAAACAGCAGGAGAAGATAGGGAGAGACACAGAGATGAGAGGATTCAGGAAAGAGCAAGCACAGCAAGAGACGGAAAGTGACACATAGGGAGAGAACCCGAGGGAGACAGGAAACAGAAAAGTTGGAGAGACACGGAGACTGACAGAGACACACATACAGCCAGTGATACTGAGCAGATGTACTAGCGACCCACAAAGATGGTCAGGGAAATAGAGAGAAATGGAGAGACGAGACAACATCAGGAAAAGACCTAAAAGTGCACCTTCTAGTGAGCCACAGTCAGTGACAGGCAGAAACACAGGGAGAAACAAGAGCGCATCAGAAAGAGACAGAGACAGTGACAAGACTGAGAGAAAGGTAAAGAGAGACCGAGACATGTATATACAGCTACAGAGCATATCCCCTAGCGAAAGAGACACAGAGAAACTGAGACACAGAGAAAATGACCAAGAGTGGGAACGACTGGAGTAAACAAGGGACAGAAATAAAAAAAGAGAGACTGACAGAGACTGGTAGAGAACACGCACTTGCTAGCAAGAGACAAAGAAATAAAGACAGAGGGCAGAGTGAGAAACAGGAATGAGAAAGTTGGAGAAAAACTGAGACATGTACACACACCCCAGGAGATAGAGCAAAAGTGTGCTAGAGAGAGACACTGGACAGAAAGAAAGAATTCAGCAAACGTAAACTGGCTGAGATACAGAGCGCGTGCATGCTCTAGCGGGTGAGAGCTAGGGAAATCATTTGAGAAACCCAAACTCTGAGACTCAAAGACAATAACACAAACAGGCAGAGAGCACTTGCGCACACGCCAGTGTTAGAGACGGCTGGGAGGGACTCAGAAACCCCTAGAGAGAGTCAGAGAGACCCAGAGAAGAAGAGAAGGGTTGAGAGAGAGTGCTCGGTCCCTGACAGGAGCTGTGGGAGAGAATCAGGCAGCATTGCTGTCTGGTGCAGAAGCCTTGCCCCCTCCACAGGGTGACGAACCTGACCTGCGTGTTTCTTGCGTTCCCAGTCCAAGCAGTGAGTGTGGTCTGTGTGCCCCTTGGCCGCCTGCTGGTGCCAGCTCCAAGCCTGAGCCCTGTCTCATGTCCCTGGCCATCAACATGACGCCCACCTACACCAACACCACGTCCAAAAACAGCAGCAGCCACACGTGCATGCCCTTCTTCAAAATGCCCATCAGCCTGACTCATGGAATCATCCACTCCAGCATGCTGCTCATCTTTATCACCGCCTCATTCATGGGCAACATAGTGCTAGCAATTGTGTTGCAGCGCAAGCCTCAGCTGCTGCAGGTGACCAACCGCTTCATCTTTAACCTCTTCATCACTGACCTGCTGCAGGTTTCACTCGTGGCTCCCTGGGTGGTGGCCACATCTGTGTCTCTCTTCTGGCCCCTCAACAGCCACTTCTATACTGTCCTGGTTCACCTCACTCACCTGTTCGCCTTTGCCAGTGTCAACACTATCTTTGTGGTGTCAGTGGATCACTACCTATCATCCACCCACTCTCCTACCCAGCCAAGATGACCCTGCGCTGGGGTTATATGCTCCTCTATGGCACCTGGATCTTGGCCATCCTTCAGAGCACACCCCTACTTTATGGCTGGGGTCAGGCTGCCTTTGATGAGTACAATGCCCTCTGCTCCATGATCTGGGGGTCCAGCCCTAGCTACACCATTCTCAGCATGGTGACCTTCATTATCATTCCACTGGTCGTCATAATTGCCTGCTACTCTGTGGCATTTGGTGCAGCCCGGCATCAGCATGCTCTTCTGTAACACGTCAAGAGCCACCACAGGTTGGAGGTTCCAGCCAAGGACCGTGTGGAGAATGAGGATGAAAAGGGAGAGAGGAAGGATGAGTTCCAGGGTGAGAGCAAGGTTCCACAGCCAGAATGAAGGTGGGATCAAGGCTAAAGTGGGCAGTGTGGAGGCCCAAGAAGGCAGATTGGAAGTCAAGGAAGAGAGTGTGGAGGCCAAGGGCAGCAAGGAGGTCAAAGAAAGCAGCTTGGTAGCTGATGGTGGCAGCATGGAGGGTAAGGAAAGTGGCACCAATATTGAGAGCAGCATGAAAGCAGGCAATGGTCATATAGAGGTCAATCAGTGCAACATTGACTTGGGTAAAGATGACATGGAGTTTGGTGAAAATGACATCAATTTCAGTGAGGATGACATCAAGGCAGTGAACATCCAGGAGAGTTTCCCAAAGAGTCATCAAAACAGCAACAATGACCCTCCTCTGCCCAAGTGCTACCAGTGCAAAGCTGCTAAAGTGATCTTCCTGATCATGTTCTCCTAAATGCTGTTACTGGGGCCCTACTGATTCTAGAAGTCCTGGCTATGTGGGTGGATGTCCAAACCAAGGTATCACAGGAGGTGATCAAAATAATAATCTGGCTTTTCTTCCTCCAGTGCTGCATCCACCCTACATATATGGGTACATGCACAAGACCATCAAGAAGGAAATTGAGGATATGCTGAATAAGTTCTTCTGCCCCCAAAAGAATATAGCCACCCAGACCTCTGGAACTGAAGTTGGCACAGAGGGTGGGACTGAAGGCAAGATCATCCCTTCTCATGATTCTGCCACTTCACCTTGAAGTGTGTTCTAAGGCAAACCTTGAAGTATCCACAGTGCAGAAAACAGGAGCAGTTTTCATTTTAATGGACCACTCACAGTACAATTAATACCAACCCATACCATTCCAGGTAAAGATATTGCACACATGCTTCTCACCACAAGATAGATAAATATATGGAAGAGGAAGAAATGGGTGTCTTTATTTTTATTTTTTTTATTAATGAATTTTTGTTACAGATGTTTCTCCTCTTTCTGCAACTGATTTCCCCCTCCCTCTCCCACCCCGTCCTTTCCCCAGTTTGCTGTCCATGACCACTGTCCATGCATACATGCATATGAGTTAAGTGGTTTATCTCTCCACCACCACCTCCTCTTCTGGGGATTATCAATTTGTACCCCACTTCGACATCTCTGGGACTAACCCACTCCTCAGAATGTTATGTTCATTATATACCACAAACAAGTGACATCATATGAAACTTGTCTTTCTCTATTTGCTTGTTTCACTTAGGATGATACTTTCCAGGTCCCTCCATGTAGTCTCAAAGGATAAGAAATCTTTCTTTCTTACAGCTGTGTAGTACTCCATTGTGTATATGGACCACAGCTTTTTTATCCATTCATCTACTGATGGACACTTGGGCTGTTTCCAGATCTTAGCTATTGTAAATAGTGCTGCTATAAACATGGGGGTACATATATTCTTTCTGATTGGTGTTTCAGACTTCTTAGGGTATATTCCTAGAAGTGGGATCACTGGGTCAAATGAAAGTTCAATTTTTAATTTTTTGAGGTAACACCGTATTGTTTTCCATAGTGGCTGCACCAGTCTGCATTCCCACCAGCAGTGCATTAGAGTCCCCTTTTCTCCACACCCTCGCCAACACTTGTTGTTTGATGCTTTGTTGATGGCGGCCATTCTGGCAGGTGTGAGGTGATACCTCATTGTTGTCTTAATTTGCATCTCTCTGATGATTAGTGATGATGAGCATTTCTTCATATGTCTCTTAGCCATTTGTAGGTTCTGCTTGGAGAGTGGTCTATTCAGCCCCTCTGCCCATTTTTTTAATTGGGTTGTCTTCCTCTTGGGGAGTTGGATAAGCACTCTATATATATTGGAAATTAACCCCTTATATGATATATCATTGGCAATTATGCTCTCCCATATAGTGGGTAGCCTTTCCATTTTGATGATTATATCTTTCACTGTGCATAAGCTTTTGAGTTTGATGTAGTCCAATGTGTTCATTTTCTTTTTTGTTTCTACTGCCTTAGGTGATGTATCAGTGAAAATTCTGCTGCATATGATGTCTGAAATTTTGTTGTGTACAGTTTCTTCTAAAATTTTTATGGATTCATGAGTCACATTTCAGTCTTTTATCCATTTTGAGTTTATTCTTGTGTATGGTGTAAGTTGATGGTCTAGATTTATTTTTCTGCAAGTAGCTGTCCAATTTTCCGAGCACCATTTATTAAAGAGGCTGTCCTTACTCCACTGTATGCTCTTGCCTCCTTTGTCAAATATTAATTCAGCATATTGCCTTGGGTCCATTTCTGGGTTCTCTGTTCTGTTCCACTGGTCTATATGCCTGGTCTTGTGCCAGTACCAGGTTGTTTTGAATACAGTGTCTTTGTAGTATAACCTGAAATCTGGTAATGTGATCCCTCCAACTTTGTTCTTCTTTTTCAAGATTGCTGTGGCTATTCGAGGCCTTTTTTGGTTCTATATGAACTTTTGAAGTACTTGTTCTAATTCTGTGAAGTATGCCGTTGGTACATTGATGGGGACTTCATTGAATCTATAGATTGCTTTGGGTAAAATGGACATTTTTATGATGTTAATTCTCCCAATCCATGAACAGGATATGTGCTTCCACTTTTTTATATCTTCCTCTATTTCTTTTTTCAATGACCTGTAGTTTTCTGTGAATAGGTCCTTTATTTCTTTGGTTAAGTTTATTCCTAGGCATCTTAATTTTTTTGCCGCAATGGTAAATGGGATTGTTTTCTTAGTTTCAGTTTATGTGAGTTCATCATTGGTGTATAAGAATGCCATCGATTTCTTGACATTAATTTTGTATCCTGCTACTTTGCCAAATTTATTTATTAAGTCTAGTAAACTTTTGATGGAGTCTTTGGTGTGTTTTCTATGTATAGTATCATGTCATCTGCAAATAATGACAATTTCACTTCCTCGTTTCCAATTTGGATCCCTTTTATTTTTTCTTACTGTCTGATTGCTGTGCCTAAGACTTCCAGTACTATGTTAAATAAGAGTGGCAAAAGTGGGCATCCTTGCCTTGTTTCTGTTCTTAAGGAAAATGCTTTTAGTTTTTGCCAATTGAGTATGATGTTAGCTGTAGGTCTTTCATATGTGTCCTTTATTATGTCTAGATATGATCGCTTTATTCCCACACTGCTGAGCGTTTTTATCAGAAATGGAAGCTGGATTTTGTCGAAGGCTTTTTCAGCATCTATTGATATGATCATGTGGTTTTTATTCTTCATTTCATTTATGTGTTTTATCACGTTTATTGATTTGCGAATATTGTACCAGCCTTGCATCCCTGGGATGAATCCCACTTGGTCATGGTGGATAATATTTTGTTCAGGATTTTGGCATCTATGTTCATCAGGGATATTGGCCTGTAGTTTTCCTTTTTTGTTGTGTCTTTTTCTGGTTTTGGAATTAGAATTATTCTGGCTTCATAAAACAAGTTTGGAAGTCTTCCTTCTTTTTGAATTTTTTGAAATAGTTTGAGGACAGTGAGTATTAGTTCCTCTTTGAATGTTCGGTAAAACTCCCCCATGAAGCCATCAGGGCCTGGGCTTTTGTTTTTTGGGAGAGCCCTATTAGATCTTCAATTTCTTCTGTTGTTATTGGTCTGTTCAAGTTTTCTATCTCTTCCTGATCCAGTTTTGGGAGACTATGTGTTTCTAGCAATTTGTCCATTTCGCTTAGATTGTGGAATTTGTTGCAATATAATTGTTCATAGTAGTTGTTAATGATCTTTTGTATTTCTGTGGTGTCAGTTGTTACCTCTCCTCTTTCATTTCTGATTTTGTGTATTTGGGTTCTCTCTCTTTGTTTCTTGATGAGTCTAGCTAAGGGTCCATCAATCTTGTTTATCTTTTCGAAAAACCAGCTCTTTGTTTTATTGACACTTTGAATTGTTTTTTGGGTCTCTATGTAATTTATTTCTGCTCTGATCTTTACTATTTCCTTCCTTCTACTTGCTCTGGAGTTTTCTTTTTGTTTTCTCTCCAGTTCTTTCAGTTGTGAAGTTAGATAGTCTACTAGAGATTTTTCTGGGTTTTTTGAGGTAGGCCTGTAGTGCTATGAACTTTCCTCTCAGAACTGCTTTCGCTGCATCCCATTGATTGTGTTTTTGTGTCTTCATTTTCATTGTTTTCCAGGAAGTTTTTAATTTCTTCCTTGATCTCCTCAATAACCCATACATTGTTTAATGACATGCTATTTAGCTTCCATGTGTTCAAATGTCTTTGTATGTTCTTGTTGCAATTGATTTCTATTTTCATGCCATTGTGATCTGAGAAGATGCTTTATATGACTTCAGTCTTCTTGAACTTGTAGAGACTCAGTTTGTGCCCTAACATGTGGTCTATCTTTGAGAATGTCCCATGTGCATTTGAGAAGAATGTGAATTCTGTAGTTTTGGGGTGTAATTCTCTGTAGATATCTATTAAATCCATTTGGTCTAGTGCTTCATTTAGAGTTTCTGTTTTCTTGTTAATTTTTTTCCTAGAGGATCTATCCAGTGATGTCAACAGGGTGTTGAAGTCCCCTGCTATGATAGTATTGCTATTGATTTCTCCGTTGAAGTCCTCCAGAAGATTTTTAATATATTTTGGTACTCCTATATTGGGTGCATATATGTTTACCAATGTTATATCTTCCTGTTGGATAGATCCTTTCAATATTATGTGGTGGCCTTCTTTGTCTCTACTTATGGCCTTCATTTTAAAATCTATTTTATCAGATATGAGTATTGCTACCCCAGCTTTTTTTTTTCCTTTTTGTTTGCTTGCAAAATTTTTTTCCATCCCTTCACTTTCAATCTATGTGAGTTTTTTGGTGTGAGGTGGGTCTCTTGTAAACAACATATAGATGAGTCATACTTTCTTATCCAATCAGCTGCTCTGTGTCTTTTTATGGGAGCATTCAATCCTTTTAACATTTCTTGCAGTGCTGGTTTGGTACTAATGTATTCCCTTAGACTTTTTTTGTCTGGGAAGGTCTTTATTTGACCTTTTATTTTGAATGATAGCCTTGCTGGGTAGAGTAGTCTTGGATTCAGATCCTTGTTTTTCATGACATTGATTACTTCATGCCATTCCCTTCTCGCCTGTAGTGTTTCTTGTGAGAAGTCCACTGAGAGACTTATGGGGTTTCCTTTGTAGGTAACCTGTTGCTTATCTCTTGCTGCCTGTAGGATTCTTTCTTTGTTTTTAATTTTTGGCATTTTAACTACCATGTGTTTTGGTGTGGGCTTGTTTGGGTTCTTCTTACTTGGGGCTCTCTATGCTCCTTGAACTTGACTGCCTTCTTCTTTAACCATGTTAGAAAAGTTTTCTGTTACTATTTCTTCAAATATATTCTCTAACTCTTGTGCATTTTCTTGCTTTTCGGGGACTCATATGATGCAAATGTTATTACATTTTCAGTAGTCTCACAGTTCTCTTAAGCTGTCTTTCTGTTTTTTAATCATTTTTCCTTTTAATTTTCTGATTGGTAGGTTTTTTTCTACCCTGTCGTCTGATTTACTGATCCGGTCCTCAGCTTCCCCTACTCTGCTTTTTAGACATTCCAATGTGTTTTTCATTTCTGATATGTCATTCATCATTTCCTCTTGGTGGTTTTTAATTTCCAACTGGTTGATTTTCAACATTTCTATGTCTTTACTCATGGAGCTTCCTCAACATCATGGCTTTATATTCTAGTTCTGTTTACTTGCTTAAATCCACCTCATTTATCTCATCTTCTGTAGAGGTCTCTTG